CCCATCGCCCCCGCCCGCCCGCCAGCCCCCCGGGAGGATGGACGCGAAGGCGACCGGGGCGCGTCGGTACGGGGAAGGCCAGAGTAGCTGATGAGAAACAGAGCAGTGGGCGAGGGAAGGAGAGGAAAGCGAGGGTCCTGATCTCCGACCACCATTCGCCTGCCTTCGCCACTCGGGAACATCCCCTCTGGCCCTGTCGGAGAGAAGCGAGAGACCGGACTGAAAACAAGGGGAAATTGGGATAGGACACAAACCGTTTTCGTCATTGATTTGGGGTTGGGTTTTGTTTTGTTTTGTTTTGGCGTGTGTACAACTCGCATTTCCCCCCCGCCCCATGACCCTCACCTTTCCCCCTCCGTGCTTCGGGGATGCGCAGCCGCAACCTCGTGTCTGGTGTCCTCAGCCGGGGCTGCGCGGAGCAGCGGGGGCTTCCCTCCCGCCTCGTCCGCCTCCTCGGGCATGCTGTCGTGGTACTTGTAACATTTGCATGAATGAAGTGAACCCTATCTGTATATAGCATCCTATAGCGATAGTCCTTCCAGCCATGTCGGTTGAGCATTGCAGATACAAGTGTTTTCTTTTCACTGGGTTTTATTTATTTTAGTTAGTTTGGTTTCGCATTTGGTTTTTGTTCGTTTGTTTGTTTCCTCTCAGTGGGGGTAAAAGGAGAGAAAGCTGTCCCCATTTGTAGCTCCGCGCGTGGGTCCACGAGAAGCAATAACAGCCGTGCAGATGTAGGTTTTCAGGGGAGGAAAACCCACACCCCAGAGACTGCAGGCTCTGTCCCCCCGCGTGGCCGGTGTCACCCCCACAGTGGCCAGTCCGGGGGATGCTGAAGCCGGTGCGAAGCCCTCCACCGTCCGCAGGAGGTTTTACCCAAGGTCCCAGGGAGCCCGAGTGGGATGAGCAGCGTCCGAGCCCAAGGGGGACAAGCGTGGCCGGCTCCCAGCACCTCGCCTGCCTCTGCCTTTATAGCCGGTGGCTGCCTCAAAACCCCTTGGCCCCCTGCTATTCCCTGTGTCCCCAGAGGTCTAGTGACAGCCCCTGTTTCTGAGCGTTAAGCCATCAGGATCAGTCCCCAAAGCTGGTCCTTTCCCACAGCCATTTGGAGGCAGAATAATTCAGCCTAAGGGCTGTAGCGAGATCTCCCATACAGCTGAGCGTAACTGGGAAGGGTCCCCCAAGGAAAAACGCCACAATTGCACTGTCAGAATCTGAAATCAATGGGAAGGCTGAGGCAGGGGGGTGTAACTCAGCATCACCCCCTCACCCCAGCAGTGCAGGCTGGGGGAGCGAGCCGGGCCCGGGGGGGG